GGAGACCTGTCCAGGTGTCCCTGTGATGGACTGGAGACCTGTCCAGGGTGTACCCCGCCTCTCACACAGTGGCTGCTGGATATGGGCACCAGTGACCCCCGCGACCCAAAAAGGACAAAGCGGGTAAAGATAATGGATAGATGGATGGATGATGGTTCACCCTTCGTCCAAAGGACTTCATCAGTCCGAGGAGCCACAACAAACCAATTCCCACAAGCAGCACACTCAGTGGACCAACCACTTTGCTGGTGATAAAATGGTTTCTGGGGCCTTCCCTCTCCCCTGTTAACTCATTGTGCTTGTGGGATTAAGTTTGTTGTAGCTCCTCGGGCTGATGAAGTCCTTTGGATGAAGGGCAAAACATCTCAACAGAAAAAGAAACCGTCCAGATGACCTGACTGAACTTTGTTGGGTTTTTACCTGGATTAATGAGCATGAACTTTGATGTTTTGAACCACTTTGGCTATGGCTGCCTCAGAGAAGTCGATGGGGGAGAGGGCAGGCCAATCATCTTATCACCAGCAAATTGGTTCCTCCACTATGTGAGTGTGCTGCTTGTGGGACTTTGTTGTGGCTCCTTGGACTGATGAAGTCCTTTAGATGAAGGACAAAACGTCTCAACAAAAAAAGAAACCGTCCAGATTACCTGACTGAACTTTGTTTGGTTAACTTGGTAAATTTATCTACCTGGATTATTGAGCAGGCATCAGGATATCCAGGTCCTCTAGTTAACTTTAATTGTTTTTGTTTTTTTTATTGTAATGTGTTCATTTTGTGTTAATTTGTCCATCGTGTGTGAACTTTAGTATTATTTAAAAACAAGAAGAATTTTCTACTTGATATTGAATCAATGGTAGTCTACAAACATCTTCAAACAATCATAAGATTAAAAAGATGTTGTGTTCATTTTGAGTCACTGGCCACAAGAAAAGGTTTGGAATACAGTTTTAATGTTTATTTTGTGTTTGCAGAGTTCTTAAAGCCAAAAGGGATGCATACGTTTCTCGCCTAAATCAGATCTATCGCAACAATCTCGACAAAGTAAGTTTGAATTATTTTATTTCTAATGTTGTGTTTTGTTTTAGGTTTTATTTTCAGACAAAAACAGAGGAGAAAAATAATATTGTCTGTTTGTTTCCAGGCTAAAATCCAAACCATTCAAGGTTTCGCGAGGTTCACAGACGACCCTGAGCCCACTGTGGAGGTCGGTGGGAGAAAGTTTACGGCGCCTCACATCCTCATCGCCACCGGAGGGCAGCCTTCTGTTCAGAGTGATGATGAAATTCCAGGTAACTCATCTGAATCTTTAACTCAGATTTATTCAAGTTAACAAAATGTGCAAATTATTGTTTTTGTTTACGATTTTAGGAGCAAGTCTGGGCATCACTAGTGATGGCTTTTTTGATCTGGAAACCCTCCCAAAGTAAGCGTTTTATGTGCTTATTATTTTAGATACCACAAGGGAACGTGGTACCCCCAATGAAAGGCTTTGTTTTCCTGCAGACGCAGTGTGATTGTGGGGGCTGGGTATATCGCAGTAGAAATGGCTGGTATTCTTGCCACCCTGGGCTCCAAAACATCCCTCATTATCCGTCAGGCATGCGTAAGAAACAAAGAACCAACAGAGAATTCTCTCAGCATCAACTTGTCATTGAGCGTCATGTCTTCGCGTGTTCGTTTTTGTAGGTTTTGAGAAACTTCGATGCATTCATAAGCGCAAACTGCACCAAGGAGCTGCAGAACAACGGCATCGATCTGTGGAAGAACTCTCAGGTGAAGTCCGTGACTAAAACGGACAGAGGCCTGGAAGTTACAATCGCTACCAAAGACCCGGAGAAGAAGAACGGCGAGGAGAAGATCGGCACCATCGAGGAAGTGGACTGCCTTCTGTGGGCCATCGGCAGGAAGCCCAACACGTCCGCACTGAACATCAGCGGCTTGGTAATCGTCCTCACAACCATCTCACAAATAAACACAGAGAAACATGAAAAACAAGCTGCTTGAGAGGAGAAATTTGAGAGACAAATAAACTGAGCCCGACCAATATGGAAATTTTGGCTATTGCTGATATCGATACTGGTAGGGGCCAGCTGATGTCGATCATCGATATATTGGCAAAAATTCTTTGTCCACTACCAAGAATCTAAATAAACAGCTACTTTTAAACCTGTTTTACTTGTGGTCTTTCTAAACATGCATTCACATTTTCTATCCTCCACTAGTCACCATAAAGTTATCAAGTTTGTTACAAAATATAAATTAAACTAAGAAACGCCCTTCCCTGGTCATTGTTTAAACAGTCATGTACGGTGAAGGCCTATTAGTATTGAACGCACCAGCGTTTTATTTTCTTTGCTGAGAAGTAAAGGTTTCAGACAAACGATGCATTTCATTGATAATGACAACGATAACTTTGCTGACACTGATATTCAGTCAGTCAACCTTTATTTCTACAGGTTAATCTCATTGAGCCTCGGGGACTCATTTACAAGAGAGACCTGATTTTAACAAAGCGTGATGACAACAGTGGACAACAACAATAGACAATCATAAAGGATGCGTGCACATTGACAATAACAAGTGAAAATAAAATGGTATTTAAAAAAATTTAACACAAAAACAAGAATATATTTTACCTCTACGTTAGATTTATTGTTCTGGATAAAGTTTTACAAGGCAATAGTCTATGCTAGGTTATCTAAATGTTAGCTTGCTAACTTGAGAGGCACGTAGCTAATGACAAGCAGGTTGGAGGATTGAAGATAATTTATCATTGTTTATTTATTTTTATTTTACATGTCAGTTAAAATAAACTTACCATGTTCTGTTCAGTAAAATACGCTGCACAGTATTTAGTTGCTCCGTGCTTTGGCTGTGCGTCAAGTGTGCAGCACGGCCACGACTTAGTAGTCCACATGCGCCCTCTGCTGGAGATGTTGTAAAATTGCACCATTTGCAAGTAAAGATATGGCTTGTTCCCAACATTTTAGGGGTTAAAATTAGAATTGTTTATATCTGTGCATAATGGGTCAATTATCACTGATATCAATATGCCACCAAATGCCTATATCGGCCCCACCGATATATCGGTCGGGCTCTACAAATGAAGGCTATTTTTACCTGAAAAATACTACTAAAGTACTACTGCGTCTATTAAAAATAATTTAGTAGCTTCAGTTAAACATTTAACTAACTTACATTAATGCTGTTTGAAAGAGAGAGCAGAAACAAAGATATCCAACAACCTCTTGATGACACTCTCTCAGACCAGGTTTCCTCTTTACCTCATTTGTTTTATGGAAAACTTCAAGTTCAAATTGTTTTCTTGACCACTGCACTGTACACGTTTTAATTCTATTTACTGTATTAGCTTTATATTTGTTTGTCTTTCTGCTTTTTCAGGGTGTGGATATTGATGAAGGAGGCCATATTGTCGTAGATGAATTCCAGAGTACGACACGGTCGGGGCTCTACGGTCTCGGGGATGTTTGTGGCAAAGCTCTTCTCACACCTGGTACTAATTAATGCACATGGATTTACAAATAAAGTAAAACTAAACAAATGGGATGTTGGATTAGAGTAGACATTTATATATTCCGTAACAAAACTCTTCAACTTTAGGGAATAAATTTACTGAGAACAAAGAGACGGTTTTAATAGTTGCACTTCAAAATGAGATGAATGTGTTCAGGAAGCTTCACAGTTATTGTTTTGAACTATTCTGCTACAGCAGTAAATGTTTTTGTCTTGGTATGGTTTGGTAGCACAGGTGTTGTTATTTAAAGGTAACTGATGTCACTTTTGGCGGCAGTGGCCATCGCTGCTGGCAGGAAGTTGGCACACAGACTGTTTGAGGGCAAGAAGGACTCCAAGTTGGATTATTCTAGCATCCCAACAGTGGTGTTCAGCCATCCGCCCATTGGCACTGTGGGCCTCACGGAGGGTGAGTACATTATCCAAAGTTACCTTTATGGGTAGCACTTACTGAAATTTAAAAAATAATAAAAAATATATATATATCAACTAGACTTACCGTATTTTTCGCTGTATAAGTCGCAGTTTTTTGCATAAATTACCCTGCCTGCGACTTATACAGCGAAGCGACATATTTGTTCTTTCCCCATATTTATAACCCAATTTTTGGCTGAGATCTGACAAGTTCTGACATGGAAAATATTAAACACAACCATTTTCAGCCACTAGAGGGCCCTCAACCGATATGGCAAGCCAAGTGTCTCATTAATAGGTAAAAGTGGCTATTAATGAGACACTTGGCTTGCCATACAAAGCCACCTTCGTCGTGGTCAGTAACTCCTGGAACAAACGTCAAATAAACTGCATTTCGCCGCGTCGCCCAGGTGAAATGCAGCTGATTTGACCATTAAAGTGCATTTATTAAAGAAAAGTTCAACTGAGACACACCTTTGCTATAACTTCGAGCAAACATAAATTGTTTTTAAGTGTTAATCTTGTTAAATTCTTGTTAAAGTCCTCTTGTGCACGCTCCCGCGATTTTGGTAGCCATTCGGCCCGTATTTCCGGGTTGTCAGTGGTGACTCATAATAGATGTGACTTATACAGCGAAGTGACATATTTATGTTTTTTCCACTTTATTAGACGTATTTGGAGTGATGCGACTTAAACAGTGATGCGACTTAAACAGTGAAGCGACTTAAACACAGTGAAGCGACGTGTACGTCAGCAAGTACAGTAGTTTCTGTAGTGAAAGATGAGTTGCTTCCCATCCAGGAAGCTTTATCTGTTCAAAACTGGAGAGTTACAAGCTTTAAAATGAATAACATGCTTCATTAATGAAAAATAAATTCACAAGCAGATTAAAATCACTTCCTCCCACTGGAAGGTCATTAAGAGAAAGTTGTTTTGGCCACGTTTGTGTGAACGCCTCTCTCCTCGCGCTGCTTTTGCTTCTTTGTTTACTTTTGATGTTTTTGACTTGTCCTGGACGTCTGCATCAACAACTAACATGGACTGATATTTAAATGTGATGCAGGGGATTTGTTTTTCACAGTTGACTTAGTCATGCGTTTTTGTGTTCATGTTTATTTCACAGATGAAGCCGTTAAAACCAGTGGGAAAGAGAACGTAAAGATCTACAAAACGTCTTTCACTCCGATGTATCACGCCATCACAAGCAGGAAGAGTCCGTGCATCATGAAGCTGGTGTGTGTGGGCAAAGAGGAGAAGGTAGGAACCATCTGTTCTGCTGTAAAAATGCTCTTTTATGTTTAAAATGTTCATGCACACAGTTTTTAAATCTCTTTAACAACCTGAACTGTCGGGTGTTCCCAGGTGGTGGGCTTGCACATGCAGGGCCTCGGCTGCGACGAGATGCTGCAGGGATTTGCTGTGGCCATCAAAATGGGTGCTACCAAAGCAGATTTTGACAACACTGTCGCCATTCACCCAACCTCATCCGAGGAGTTTGTGACGATGCGTTGATGCAAACTCGATTCCCACCGTTTTGGTTTCCTTTATGACCATCAGGACTGAGTTTTTCCTCTACACCACCCTGACATTAGCCTAATCACGTGCTTTATGAATCTGCTTATTTCAATGACCTTGATTGAATGTTTGCTTTGGCTGTTTCTGACTGAGTTTTGGCCCTCTTTGTATTGTAGGTGTTAAATGCTGCTCTGAGTTCAGTTTTAATGAGTATAAAATGGAAGTAAAACATCAGCAGGCATTCAGAATAAAAGACGTGTGTGTGTGTGTGCGTGCGTGCGTGCGTGCGTGCGTGCGTGCGTGCGTGCGTGCGTGCGTGCGTGCGTGCGTTGTTTGACTTTAGTAATTTGTTAAACCTTAAAGCACTGCAGCTCTGTAATGCAGCTGTTTCATGCGAAGTCATGACACATTTCTAATGTACTGTATGGTTCTAAAGATCCAATAAAGCTGCAGCTAATTCTTCGTAAGCATTGGGATTATTTTTTTATGGATTAGGTGACAACTCCGCTTGTTCTTACTTCACTATTACTTTTGTGTGTTTCTGATTTAGCTTGGGCAACGACTAAAGCACTTTTAAGTAGAGGGAGCCGTAGACAGACTTCAGAAAAAGCTTCTTTTGTCGAATCAAATGACAACTTGCATGTTCAAGAAAACACTTGAAAAATGACTGGTTTTATGAGCAGTGATGAAACTGAATGTATTTGTAGTTGCTAATAAAAATGTAATCCAGCTTTAACCTACCAGGTGACTCAACTCTGTCTGCTTAAAGACTCTGGATCATGTCGCTCCGGTTACAACTAGAAAATCAAAACTCAGAGCAGAACCTTGGCTGAGTGACGTCACCAAGGCAGTTAGGCAGCAGTGCAGGAGGGCGGAGCGCAAGTGGAGGAAAGACAGGCTGCAGGTCTCTTTTCAAATACTTAAAGAGAGTTGGCGCCGTTATCAGAAAGCAGTGAAAGCTGCTAAATCCAAATACTTTTCTGATCTCATAACCTCAAACTCTTACAACGCATGTGTCCTCTTCTCCACCCTAAACTCTGTTCTCCACCTCACTGAACCATCACCTCTGGAAGCTTCGACTGAGCTGTGCGAGAACTACTTACATTTCTTTGTGGAAAAAATTGCGACCACCAGGGCTCTCATTTCCCCTCCAACTCATGACCCATCCATCCCACCTCAATCTGTAGCTCTATTTGACCATTTTGAACCCATCACTCTTATCTTCTCTAGAGCAGGTCATGTGCAACTTGAAACCTTCTGGTTCCCCCTTTGATGTGGTCCCCACTCGACTACTAAAGAAGGTTTTTCCTACTCTAGGTCCGTCCATTCTTTATATAGTAAACAGTAGTTTGTCCACTGGCGTGGTGCCAAAATCCTTTAAACATGCTGCTGTTCAGCCTCTCCTGAAAAAACCAAACCTTGACCCCTCAATCGTTTCCAGCTACCGGTCTGTCTCCAAACTCCCATTTGTTTTTAAAGTACTGGAGAAAATAGTCGAGTCCCAGTTGAAGTGCTTCCTGGAGGATCACGCCATCTTAGAGCTATTCCAATCTGGCTTTAAACCTCTCCACAGCACTGAAACTGCCCTGCTGAAGGTCTTTAACGACATCTTCAGATCCACTGATACTGATGATTCTGTGCTGCTTGTCCTGTTGGACCTCACAGCCGCCTTTGACACCATCGACCATGAGATCCTCATTGCTAGGTTGAAGCAGTGGGTGGGCGTCACAGGATCAGCCCTCAATTGGTTCAGATCTTACCTCACTGACAGATCCTTTTGTGTCTCCATCAAGGATTTTAATTATGCAGTGACAGAGCTTAAATGGGGGGGATCCGCAGGGGTCCATCCTGGGTCCCCTCCTATTCTCACTTTACCTGCTGCCACTTGGTGCTATTTTCCAGAAACACAACATACCCTTTCACTTCTACGCCAACGGTTGTCAAATTTACTTCCCCCTAAGACACAATGGTACATGCTCTATTCAACTTCTGCTCGACTGCCTGGCTGACATCAGGGACTGGATGGCTTTAAACTTCTTAGGTTTCAATGAAAAGAAGTCTGAAGTCATGTTGTTCCCTCCCAATGACACGATCACAAACCACTGCATCGACCTCTCTGCTCTAACCCCGTCAGAAAAACAAAGAGTCACTAATCTGGGAGTGATAATGGACCCTTCCCTGAAACTTAACAATCATGTAAACATGATTGTTAAATCATGTTTCTTCCAACTGAGGAGGCTGTCTAAACTGAAGTCCATATTCTCCAAAAATAACCTGGAGGCAGTAATACATGCATTCATTACATCTAGGCTTGATTACTGCAATTCACTCCTGTTTGGTATCAGTCAAACCTCCATTGCACGACTACAACTGGTCCAGAATGCAGCAGCCCGATTTTTAACCAGTACAGGCAAAAGAGAGCACATTACATGTGGGCCTATGGTGCGGAGCTCTTGATGTGAGAGCCGGCCCTCCTCGGCTGCGGCTCCCTGCTGCTCTGCCCCTTGGGCTGGGGCCGGCCTGTGGTCGCTGTCAGGTAGATGGTGCATGCGGTCGGCCCGACAGAGATTCTGTCGGGCTATCTGTGTGTGCCTGTTGGTTGCTCGGGTTGGGTTTTTGGTGGTCCCCCCTCTCTTGGATCAATTTGGGCCCCACGTTTGGTGTGGGGCCCACTCCCCCCGGTCGTGCCCCCCTTTGGCGGGGGACTCCCTTGCCGCCGGTGCATTGGTGGCTCTCGGTGTCTGGGCTGGGTGGTGGGGTGCACGTCGGTCCGCCCTGGTTGCTGCCTGGCGGGGCCTGGGTGCCCTGGCTCTGTCGGGGCTCTGCTAGGGGGTGGTATGGCCTCGGGGCTTGGGGCTCGGTGTCCATGGCCGGATCTACTTGGGGGGGGGGGGCATGGGTCGCTGGCCGGGCCTGTGGGCTCGTCGTTGCAGCTTCCTGGAGGCTCTGCATTGTGGTGGCTGGGGTCACCCGGTTCTTTCCTCTGCTCCTCTCTGGGGGGGTGCGGTTCTCCCTGTTGGGAGACTCTTGGGGCTCCAGGCCTGTGGGCCGCTGTGTGTCTGTGGCTCCGGTCCTCCCTATGTTGCCATTGTGTCCTGGGGGGGCGGGTCTGTGGGCCCCCGCGTCCACTATTGGGCATTCTTTTGGAGAAATCTGGTGGTGGTGGGCGTGCTTGCGCGGGTGTTTGGATTCAGGTGCTTTGACAGATGCACGCTAGGTTGGGTAGTGGTGGAAGCTAGATGATTCCTTGTGCGATGTCGAATGTTTCATGGTGATATTGTGGGTGGCATTGTGCTGTGCATGTTGTTTTGTCATGGTGGTCTCTCGTCTTATCTTCTTCTTTTTTATTATTTATTTATTCTTCTTTCTTCTCTTTCTTTAAAAAAAAAATAAAAATTTGAGCGATGATGATAAGGTCATTGAAACACTTCACAATGTTTCTACACTTAAACTGAGCTCACAAAAAAAAAAAAAAAAAGAAAAACAAAGAGTCACTAATCTGGGAGTGATAATGGACCCTTCCCTGAAACTTAACAATCATGTAAACATGATTGTTAAATCATGTTTCTTCCAACTGAGGAGGCTGTCTAAACTGAAGTCCATATTCTCCAAAAATAACCTGGAGGCAGTAATACATGCATGCATTACATCTAGGCTTGATTACTGCAATTCGCTCCTGTTTGGTATCAGTCAAACCTCCATTGCACGACTACAACTGGTCCAGAATGCAGCAGCCCGATTTTTAACCAGTACAGGCAAAAGAGAGCACATTACACCAGTTTTGGCCTCCCTGCACTGGTTACCGGTTCACCTTCAAATCCAGTTCAAAATACTCATGTATGTCTACAAATCGCTGTTTCGCGCCCCCCCCCCTCCATCTCTCTGATCTGCTACAACCGTATGTCCCACCACGTTCCCTGAGGTCAGCGGACCAGTTGCTCCTCACAGTTCCAGGAACTTGTCTTAAGCGCAGAGGTGACAGGGCCTTCTCTGTAGCAGGACCAAGACTTTGGAACGAGTTACCGCTGCTTGTCAGACAGGCCCCCTCCCTCTCGGTTTTCAAATCTCGTTTAAAAACTCACTACTATTCAGTAGCTTTCAACACCAGAGGATCTGTGTTTTGAACCTGTACGCTCCACACTGGTTTGTCGTCATATTTATTATCGGCATCGTTTTTATGTCTGTATTTTTTATTTACTTCATTTTGCTTTGTGTGTTGTCTGTTGTTCTGTCTGTACAGCACTTTGGTTGGCCTTGTAGCTGTTTTAAGTGCTCTATAAATAAAATGGTATGGTATGTTGTGTTATATATTGTATAAATGTTTTGTTCCTTGCAAAATCATAAATAATGCATAGTTTTTAACTTATATTTTCTGGTCAATCAACATTTCCAATTTCAGATGCAAAGTTTGTTCAAATATAAAGCAAATGGTTTAATAAAACTTTTAAAGCAAACAAAAGGTAATACTTGACCGTCCATTTAAACTTTTGAGACAAACAATCCCAATAAAAAGGTTGTTAATTAGCAAACATTTCATTATATTAAAAAAGAAAACTGTAAATAAAGTGAAATGTTAAGCTAAATTGGAGGTATAGTTGTGCAAAGATTTATTAAAAACCCAAATAATAATTATATATTTTATATTGTTTTTAGTGTACATTACCAAAGTTGATTTCCGTTTGAAATACATGATCTCGCGAGTTTACGTCACTAAAAACTTAAAAGTGCAATATGGAATAAAAAGTAAAAGTTTGTTCTTTTATCGAGGAGTTCTCGCTTTTTCCTGTTTTGTCGATCCACTCCAGTCCAGTAGGTGGCAGTAATGAACTGTAAAATAGCTGCCAACTAGAACGTTTAAAAAAAACAACGGTGACGTAAAGAGTCACGTGGGTCTGTGTTTGTAGCATTAGCCAGAAGCAACGGCGTTATGAGCTCCTTACCATAGATTTTCAAAATGGGCACCGATTATGTACAACAAAAGCCATCATAGAAAGGTATTTACGTTTCGTAGCAACACCATTTAAATGCGCTTGTGAGTTATCTTCAAATAGTTTGCATTTTTATGAACCACTTGGCGATAGCCTAGCATGCTAGTAGTTAGCTGAACGTTTGACTTGTCATTCACTCGTATTCTTGGACGAGCAGAGTCGGCTTATAGTAGTCAAGCGGTGTTGACCATTCGAGTGACAGTTTTTTATTTTAACTAAAATGTCTTCTGTGTTTCACATGCGAGTTTGTGTTATCCATGCTAACGTTTCTAACTGATAATACTGTATTAACCTTGGAGGATATTTGTCGGCGTTAATCTGTCAGGAGACAAGGAGGAGGTTAAGTTCAAGTTGATAAGTGGTGTCATGCTAACACATTAGTGACTGGAATATTTGTGATTCCGCGCAGCAAATCTTTGCACTTCAGCTCGAGGATGTTGCCCAGCCTGGCCCACAGACCATGGCAAGTCTTCTGCAGAGTGTCCCTGCAGCACAGATCTTCTCTGCCCTGTCGGTCTTTCAGGTTCCCGCAGCTGTGTCGCGGTGAGCTGGCTCCTCTGGGAGCTCTAACTGCTAATCTCTGCTCTGATCTCACCACCCTTAAACCTGCTTCATGCTAACGGCGAGCTGTTGTGTTGCACAGGTTGCCAGAGTGGAGGCATGCACAGCTTGTGGTTTCAACATCCAGACTGTCGAGTGGCCTCCGTGGGGTGGGGTAAGGTCCAGTGCTACTCTTCTTCCAGCAACAGTAAAGATGGTCCCCCCAAATCACAGTCAGGCTCGGCTCCTTCACGAGAAAAAGTGTCTGGTGCACCAAAAGTCACCCCAGGTTTACAAGGTAAAGCTAAATGTTGCCATATTCTATTCAGTAAAGACTTTATTTGATCTACTCTAAAATGTATTCCATCTCATAGAGGTCAACCAATATGTTTTTGTTAGAAATAAGAGTGGCCAATGCCCATATATATATATATATATATATACACACAAAATGTTGAGGTAACGTGCATCTTCCATGTAACAAAACTTTATCATAATTGTTTAACTTAAATAAACATTTAAGCAACACGAGAACATATACATTTTGCTGCAGTGAGCTGTCTTTCTACTTGGTACTTGATTATGTACATGAATGGCTAATTTACTTTTTTTAAAGGGGCAATATTTGGTCTACCTCTAACCACATGTAAGATAAGATAGAACTTTACTGATCCCCGCAGGAAATTGTTGCGCCAGAGTTTCAGTACAAAGGAAAATACACAAGGAATCACAAGATCTAAAAAAATAACAGAGAATATACAAATACCAACAACTAAGGTCTAAAACAGATCAGGTGCAGGCGGAAACATTAAAGTGTTTATTGTCCTATGTTTAGAAAGGGGGAGGAGTTGAAAAGTTTGATAGACACAGGAGGAACTTCCTGTGTTGTTCTGTGGAGCACCTCGGTGGTCTCAGTCTACGACTGAAGGTGCTGCGGTTAGAGTCCAGGGTGTCATGCAGGGGGTGTGACGTGTTGTTCAGGATCTGGAGCAGTTTCCACAGCACACTCTGCTCAGACACCTCTGTCAGAGACTGCAGTTCCACTTCCAGAACTGAACCAGCTCTCCTGATGAGTTTATTGAGTCTGTTGGCATCAGCTTTCTTCACCCTGCTGCTTCAGCACACCACAGCGTAGAAGAAGACACTGGAGACCACCGAGTGGTAAAACACCTGCAGCATGGTCCTGCAGATGTTAAAGGACCTGAGTGTCCTCAGAAGAAAAATGTGACTCTGTCCTCTCTTGCAGAGGGTGTTGGTGTTAGTCCAGTCCAGTTTATTGTCTAAGTGGACCCCAGGTACTTGTAGCAGTCCACAGTGTCCACCTTAGTAGCCTTGATGTTGATAGGGTTGGGGCTGATCTTCTTCCTGTAGTCCACCTGCAGCTCTTTAGTTTTTCCAACGTTGAGTTGCAGGTGGTTCTGTCCACCACACCTCTATATTCAACTTCCTGGTCACCAGTGATGCAGCCCACATGTAAACACCAACCCTGGGAAACACTTCCGACATGTTGTTGTTGTTGTTGTTGTTGTTGTTGTTGTTGTTGTTGTTCGTTGATTAATAAGCTGTTAGGTGGCTGCTCTGAATACATTCTAATTTTTGCTGTTTTAGGTAAATTGGCTCAAGGACTGTCAAAAGTTGAGACAATTCAAGTTAAAGGTAAATGATGATTTACCTTATCCTAATATATTTTCTTAGGTTTGATGTTAGATTAATTACCTTTTATTAATTATTTTTCTTTCTATTGTCACAGTCCGAGCTGTCCTCAAGAAAAGAGAATATGGAGCCAAATACACTCAGAACAACTTTATCACTGCTGTTAGAGCCATGAATGAATTTTGTCTCAAACCAAGGTAACTTCTCTTTTTCACTGTTTCACATTTGTTTCTTTAATATAAACCTTTATATCCTCAATGCTGAGTAGAGTCTGTTTACACAACAGTTTTGGTGGGTTATTAACTAAGCATGTGGTTGTTATTAGCCTCCAAAACTGACTGCCACTGCTAAACTAAGGTTAACTCTTGTGTTTTGTGTCCCCTCTCTACAATCCATTTCACAGTGATTTGGAACAGCTTCGTAAGATCAGAAGGCGCAGCCCTCATGATGACACAGAAGCTTTCACCGTGTTTTTACGTTCAGACGTTGAGGCCAAGTTAGTGTTAAACTTCTACTTCACACCTCAAGTTCACATCACAGTTTGTCTCTGAAGAAATTTTTATTTAAACCACCATAAAAATTGTATTTCCTCTGTTGTTTGTTAATCACATCTCTACTCTTTTTGCATATTAGAGCACTGGATGTATGGGGAAGCCTTGAAGCTCTGGCCCGGGAGAGGAATCTCAGAAAAGAGGTGGAGCGGGAATACGAAGAGAGTATGTTTGTTTGTTTTCACACCTTGGTTGGATTTTTAATATAAAGCATGAAATGTGTGTTTGTTTGAAAAGACTACTATTGGGAAGCATCCTCTTGTACTTTTTGGTAGTGATTTTGATTGAATATTTTAATTTATTTATGCTTGTATATCGAATATGAACCTTTAGCTCAAAACTACTTCACATGACTTTGCATAAAGAAATGTGGACTGCACTACTTTAGCTTTTGAACATACCTGGCCAATATTAACCTATAATAAACATCACTGTAGCATATACCATCTTAATAATAATTCAGTTTATTTATATAGCACCAAGTCACAACAGAAGTTGTCTCAGGGCACTGTATAAAAACAGTCACATACATTATAAAAGCCAATTAGTAAAAGTTACTGCATCTATCTGAGGAAGCAGCAGATTGTGTTGAGTCATCGCTTTGTCACAGTCTCTCATCCTGAGCAAGCACAAAGGCAACAGTGGAAAAGAAAAACTCCCTTTTAACAGGAAGAAACCTCCTGCAGAACCAGGCTCAGGATGAACAGCCATCTGCTTTGACCAGCTGGTGTTTGAGAGGACACGAAGGAGAAACAAACATAGAATGGCAGGTCCAGGTGTACTTTCTATTCTGTTTTAAGCTAATCTGTCTAAGCTGAACCAAGATTCTGAAGTGACCTTGTGTCCTGGACAGTCAGCAGTACATGTTGACATTTCACCCCATCAAACTGAACACAGGAATTCCTCAAGGATGTGTGCTCAGTCCTTTGTTCCTTACTTTGCTGATGCATGCCAGTACTGCCAAACTGATTACAAATCAGGTCAATAAGTTTGCTGATGATGCAACAAGGCTGAAACAAGTGTCCAACAGCTTCATTCTGCAGGCAATAAGGCAGTTAAACTTTGAGTAATATCTGTATAACATGTTTTTATTTGCTCTCACGCTGGTTTAGTCAAACTTTTTTTCCTTAGTATAAGTTTAAACAACAAAAGTTTAAGTTAATGTTATAGTTGTTTAAGTTCTCTTTTTTTTGTGCAATTTCTTTATGGAACTTTCCAGATTTATCTTCCAGCTGTCATTTTTGTTCCTTTTTTTTGGTTTTGTGTTGTTTCTTGTATGTGAGCTTGGTAAGACATTGTACAATTTGTCTCCCGACATGCAGATATTTTTCGGAATCAACAGCTGTTGAAAGAATACAAAGACTTTTGGGGAAACACTAAGGTGAGAATTTTTGCTGCCGCCCTTTTGTAACTTGACAAACTTTCTGCATTGTGTGAAGAAAAACATTTCCATCAACGCACCTGATTGTGTTTGAGTGACCTTTGTCCCCATTACAGGGGTCACAGCAACTGTGTGACAGTACATTCATGCAGTCCCCTCTCTTTACTGTACTGGTGTTATTTTAGTGACAGTAATGTACTTCACCTCTCTGGTATGCCATGGGATATTCTGTACCCTGCTTGTGCTTGTTTTGTAAGAACATCAGCTGCTTTGGGAGAGAACATTAATATTGAAAGCAAAGCAGAAAGCTTTATATATAAACAGTATGAAATGTTTAAATCTGCAGTATGTAAACACTATGAAATAATTTTCCACTAAAATTACAGGCAGATTGTATTTAACTGTTGATAACTGGCACCTTGTTGACTGTTAATATATTTTTGTTGCACAAAGCCACGATCAGGAAAGAGGACAATGTTTCTACAGGGTCCAGGGAAGGTGGTCATAGTTGCCATTTGCATGTAAGTTTTCCTACTCTTCTTGATTTCTGAGTTTTGTGTGGTTTTGCATGAATTTGTCTCGTAATCATTAGATTTATTGCCCTGCAGCACACACAGGAACTAAGTGTCTGTTCACAGTAGGTTCTTAAGAATTTGGAATCACACCCTATAAACATTTACTCTGATTTTTCTACAGTTTGACTTAAGTAAACGTGAGCCAAGGTGAATTTATTGAAGATAGAAATTACAACACACACAACACATCTTTGTAAGGTTGTGGAAGTCAAGTCATGTGACTGAGATAACTGTTAATGGACGTTCCAGAAATAATTTTGTCAAAGATTTGACACAACTAGAGTTTGCCTAAAAGCACCTGAGGGATTCAGACTGTGATGCAACCATTCAAACACACTGGGAGGCACTTTACATATTGTATATAAACAATCAAACATGGTTACTTTTAGATACTTTTAATTTTATTTTAGTCATGTAGCTGAAGAACCTGTTGGTATTTACAGCTGTGTCAATGGTTTGCATTTCACCGTGACTGTGATATAAAACGTCATACTAAGAAAATACAAGAGTAGCTTTTGGAAAATTATACAGAAGTTTCAAGAGAAATCCAGTGTGATTTTTAAATGAGATTTTGAGCAGAAAAACATCTCCATAGACAAGAAGCTGCTCACTAATGCTATTTCAGTGTTTCACCTACCATTATACAAGCAGGGCGCCCCGCCCTGTCAACAGAACTGAGCGCACTGTCTACCGACGCCCGCCTCCCCTCCACGTCAACAACTGCCAGCACTGACATAGCATTAAGCTAGCTGAGCGCAATACAGATGTGCTAGCCATAAAAGCTATGACTATGGAGGTAGCGTTCCTCTCCCCCTCTCGCTGAGCCATCTTCCCCCCGTCCCCGCTCGAAAACTGTTGGTACAAACAGCGCACCACAGTCGCTGATGAAATTAGACTCAACGCAGTCTGCTCCTCAGATAATTAATGTTATTAACTTTTAATATATATGAATGTTTCTGTTCAGTGCCCTGAGGCGACTTCTGTTGGGACTTGACACTATATAAATAAACTGAATGGAAATGAATTGAATGCGTCTCCGTCCACCCCCCATCCCCACCCCCATCGACAAAAATCACGGAAGATATGATTGTCCTGTCAAGGAGTGTTGCCAGATAGTCATGGTTTTCCAGCCCAAAAATCTGTTAAAAACAGCCAAATCACACAAATCTGCCCAATCAATATATTGTTGCAGTATATTTACTGTTTGAACATGAACGCACATCAGTACAAGCCAAGGTAATTTAACAATATGTAGCAAAACGCAACAAGCCAACAAAAATCTTCCCAGAGTTTCCAGCAAAATCAGAATGAAAACCGCCCAATTGGCAGTAAACCGCCCAATCTGACAACACTGCTGCCAAGGCAAGTAAACTAGGGGAACCACCAGAGGACCAGATTTAACTTTTTTAGATTTTTCTACCTGGATTATTGAGCATGCATCAGGATAGGGGAACCACTGCATTTCAACTAGTTTTGTGACTGCACAGAAAAGGATATAGATTAATCCAACAAAGTTCAGTCAGGTCATCTGGACCTGATGTGGTCCAGATGACCTGACTGAACTTTGTTGGAGTTTTTTACCTGGATTATTGAGCGTGAACTTTGAATATGTAGATTAATGTGTATAAAAAAGTTCAGTTTGAAAACTAACCAAAAATGTAACAAAAGGAAAGCTGTTGGAAGGCATTACAAATGCACCATTCATTGTGAGATTCTCTAAAGAGTGTGTTTTCATGCAGTGTAACGCCAACTAAGAAACACTTGAAAATAAATACACATGTTTTTAAAAGGAATGTGAAAGGAACTTGGTATCACATGGCCTTCTGTTGGCTATTAGATTAGGGAGATTGTGTTAGAGGACGTGTGGAGTCACAAGAAACACTGATGAACACACAGACTCACAAGACTCAAGTTAAGTGAACATTAATCTGAGAGTAAAATTTGTTGGAAGCATCAGTAAGAATTTCCAGAAATTTCAGCACCATCTAGTAAACAGTATTTTGTGTGTTTTCAGTTGTGTGTTTTCTCTTTGTCTCCAGCAACGGGTTGAATTTCTTCTTCAAGCTTCTGGCTTGGGTCTACACTGGATCAGCCAGCATGTTCTCAGAAGCCATCCACTCTCTGGCTGACACCTGCAACCAGGCTCTGCTCGCACTGGGAATCAGCCAGTCTGTCCGCAACCCGGACGCCATTCACCCGTAAGCACCGCGTTCGACCGTGCCGCTTTTAGTTCCCCTGATCACCCAACAGCTTCAATAACGTATTGAAATGAATCCATTTGTCACACAGGTTTGCAAACGTTAAACTCATTGCAGAATTACGGCAAAATACAAACGTGGGACAATTTTTTTTTATAATTGCCACTAAACTATGGTGGTGGAGGAATGTTTTATCTGAGATGCATAAATATAGTTAACCTAGTTTTCCCCTTTAACTATAAATGTATTAGATCACACACATTTCTTGTGTATAACTCAAGAAATACTGTTAAGTCTGAAAGTAGATTTTTGTCCTTTTCAGTTATGGCTTTTCCAATATGCGCTACATCGCCTCCCTTATCAGTGGAGTTGGTATTTTCATGATGGGAGCAGGCCTGTCCTGGTATCATGGTATTATGGGATTGCTGCACCCGGAGCCCATTGAGTCTTTGTTATGGGTAAGTGTTTGCATTGCTGTATTTTGTTTTTCAAAATGTGTTTAAAAACAAATACTAACGTGTAGATTTGTCTCTTCCAGGCTTATTGTATTTTGGCGGGCTCTCTGGTGTCTGAAGGAGGTTGGTTTCACATGACGCAAAGTTTCAGCTGACGTTTGACATTTTAAATTGAAATATCCTTATGCTTTTCTTTCACAGCCACCTTATTAGTTGCAATCAATGAGATCAAGAAGAGCGCCCGCCAGCATGGGATATCTTTTTATGAATATGGTATGTTCGACTGAAATCTGTCGCAGTAATGTGATAACATTTCTTCATATTTCACAAGTAGCAAAGTGTTTTTTATAAACTGCATAAACTCTAGACTTGATAAGAAAAACTGAAGTGATCGCAGTAAATATACCTTCCATCAGCTTCACTCATACACCTCTGATGTAAAATTAAATTTGAAGTTTGCTCGGGCTGTGAGTTTCAAGTTTTGATGCTAGTTTTTAATTTATTTATTTAATTGATTAATACTCACACCCGGTTATGACATGCCACATTGTTTATGCCTCATTGATTCTTTTCCAGTCACTTTGCTTCTTTTGTGAAACTCTTAAATTCTCCCACGTCCCTTAAGAAAAACGACTCGAAGCATCCCAGCATCTTTCTCTCATTGCATTTTATTTTGAAAGAATTAGAAAGTGGAAACTGTGCTTGCAGCTGAGCTCAGCTTTAGTGTTTGAATACAGTAGTCCCTCACTTATCACGGGGGTTACGTTCCAGACACCCCGCGATCAACCTTCATTTATACATGCTAATCCCATTGAGCCTCGAGGACTCATTTACAACAGGGACCTGGTTTTAACAAAGAATGATGACAACAACAGATGATCATAAAACGATGCATACAAATTGCGAATAACAAGTGAAAATAAAATGGTATTATTATTATTATTGTTTTTTATGTAACAAAAAAAAAAACAGCTAGGTTGTAGGGCGATGTAAGAAACTAAAACCAGGAACATGTGTGCATTGGTTCCAGGAACTTAGCGGATGTTAGAAGCCACTTAGAGGTCAAGGTCAAGAGCTTCATGTCTTTTTGTAAGATATTCCAGGAA